AAACAAATAAAAAGGTATGACAATTGAGTGCAACAAAGATTTTCTTGTTATAAAGGACAATATTGGGACAAATAGTGAAATCTAAATAAATCTGGGTACAAGAAAAAAATCTATGAATAGAAAACTCTGTTATTCCAGGCTTTAAGATTTCTTAAGTATTTAAAAATTTGATTAATTTTTAATGAATTATGTCTCATCTCCTTCAGAAATGTTTCCATTAATTTATCAACAATTTCTTCTTTTAATCACTCTCAACTGAAAACATACTAAATATTTTATCACTTCATGTCAAACTGATGCCATTTTTTAAAAATAATTGACTGAAATTGATCCAGAGTTGACCACTGACAGTAGTAAGAACCTGCTTAAAACAAGAGTGATGGGGCATATTTATTTTGAGGCCAATTTTATTTTTATGAAAATTTTATTATGATCAATTTGTTTCTCATCATATTGCTTTCAACCAAACACTATGTCAAGGATGAAGGAAAGTTCTATCCCAGGAATGTAAAGATGCTGCAATATTAAGAGAGCTATTAAAATAGTTATAGACACAAGATAGATTTTTAAAAACTTTCTGTATTTTGATAACTTTAATACATATTGCAAATTTTAAAACTTTTATGGGAGTAGAAGAATTTTTTTCTTAATAAAGAAAATCTAGAAGAGCACGCCGAGAGGAGCCGCGGGGCTGCCTGCCTGACCCAAGAGAGTCAGAAGGCTGTGGCGTCTACACTCCCGCCTTCCTCTGAGCAGGACAGGACTACCGAATACACTCACCTCCATGAAAAGCAAGTCTTCCTCCGCGTGGCCCAGTGGTTCCTCTGAGGCAGTGACTTGTGAAGAGGAAGCTCTGTGGCTAGCGCGTCCTCCTTCCACAGAGGTTCAGAAATTGGAAGAAAAGGCGAGTGGCAGCAGGCAGAGATGTGTTGCTTAGTTCTTCTTGTAATTCATAATGGTCAAAAATAAATCTCAATCACCACCTGCTCCCACCCTCCTACGGCATTCTTTGCCCACCCTGCCAGATAACCAAAGGAGGGACTTCCGGGATCCTGAGAAGAACCCGGATAAGCTGTTTCCCCTCCCCTGCATCCCGGACTGCTGGTGGGCTCCCCAGCAAGTGGAGAGACCTGCGGACACCAGCCCAGCGACAGCCGCTGCCAGTGACTGGTAAGCCAGTAGCAGATGCGGCACCAGGCTCCCAACTCCCTCAGGGCACCTCCGTGTGCACAGACCCCAGCCACACGGCAGGCGCCATATTGCCTCCTCCTCCCCTCCCCCGACCCTACCCTCGGCTGCCCAGAGAGACAGAGAGACAATATAGCCACCAGCCGGAGGCACCTACAGGGAACGGGACCTTCCCTTTTGGGGCCCTACAGCTGACTAAGGGGAACTCAGACTGTGAGCTCCCTACCCACCAGCCCTCCCAGGGGCTGCTGGCACGGTGATCCCAGGAGAACGGGGCAGACCCTGAGGTTGAGAGACATAGACCCAGTGTGGGCTCCCTGTGGGTGAATTGGGACTGGCACTGCTCTCCCTGGTGGGGATATAGTTTGAATTCTGGGACCCAGAGGTCAGACCTGCAGACCACATCCCATGCACCAAGGCCTTGCATTGCCTGGGGCACAGAAGGGATATTTGTGAACAGCCTACTGAGATGTGTGTGCCTTCAGGGGCAGATCAGCATCCTAGAGGGCAACCCTCCCCCCAAAGGGAGGCTGTGCACCCAGCCCAGGTGGCATTCCTGGGCAGGGAACCTCCCCGCCGGCAGCACAGCCAGGGGAGGCCTGGTGGCATGTGGTCTGGCCTGCTGGCAGAGGCCCAGGAGTAGCTGCGGAGTTGGGCACGCTGGAAAGAAGCCAGGCCCGCTCCAGACTGCAAGTCTCAGACAGCCCCACCCCACACACAGACGATCTGACTGAGCCTGGCCATTCCAGCCCCTCCCTGTCAGCTTTGCCTGGAAGCAGAGAACGGAACTTTGACCCCTGCTAATGGCATTGGTGGTGCCTGAGGGCAGGCTTACCCAACCCAGCTCGGCCCAGACTGTCTACTAGACTAGCCCTCACTGAAGGAGAGAAAAGGACACACCTGGAAGTCCCAGGGCCCCACCCACCACATGAGGCACTAGAGTTCTCTCTACAGGAACAAGAGCTGATAACAGGACATAAAAACAACAGCCTGTTCCTCCAAGCAAGTATCACCTACTGACAGGGAGAGCATCCTGCACACCCTTTTCAGGACAACTGACTCTTATACAGGGAGTGGTCATATCTCACCCACAGACACCACTAATGGCTCAAAAACTAAACAAGGTATGTGAATACCCAAACAAAACCTAAAGAAAGAAACAACAACTGATTGACATGGGAAGAATCAGCAAAGGACTCCGAAATATGAAGAACAAACAGAAACACATCCAAAGAGAGCCCAGCCCTAGAAATGGACACCAATCAAAATCAGGCAACCAAAGAACAGAAGAGGAATTTCGTATGTGGATCATAAAAACACTCACTGACCTGCAAGAAGAACTCAATAACCAACACAAAGAAACCATAAAAAGCCTCCAGGATCTGTAAAAAAAGTTCACTAAAGAAATAGACACAATGAAGAAAAGTTTAACCAAACTCCTGGATATGAAGATCAATTCAGGGAACTACAATATACAGTGGAAAGTCTCAAGAACAGGGTAGATCAAACAGAAGAAAGAATCTCAGAAATTGAAGATAACACCCTCCAATTAAATAAATCAGTCACAGAAATAAAGCATAGAAAAGAGAAAAGAGCAAAGCCTACAAGAGCTTGGGATTATGTAAACAGATGGAAATCCATACCATCCTTGTGGATCGGCAGACTCAACATCATTAAAATGTCTATACTACCCAAAATGACCTACAGATCAATGCAATACCTATTAAATCCATATTCTTCACAGATATAGAAAAAATAATTTTACGCTTCGTATGGGACCAAAGAAGATCCCGAATATCAAGAGCAATTCTAGGCAACAAACACAAAATGGGAGGTATTAATATGCAGATATCAAACTATACTACAAAGCTGTAGTAATTAAAACAATCTGGATTGGCACAAAAATAGGAATATTGACCAGTGGAACAGATGTGAGAATCCTGATATAAACATCCTCATATAGCCATCTATACTTTGACAAAGCAGACAAAACATACACTGGGGAAAGAATCCCTCTTCAATAAATGTTGCTGGGTAAACTGGATAGCCACTTGTAGAAGGCTAAAGCAGGACCCACACCTTTCACCTGTCACAAAAATGAACTCACGCTGGATAACAGACTTAAACCTAAGGTATGAAACTATTAGAACTCTAGAGGAAAAAGTTGGAAACACTCTCCTAGACATCGGCCTAGGCAAAGAGTTTATGAAGAAGTCCCCAAGGCAATCACAGCAGCAACAAAAATAAATAAATGGGACATGATCAAACTACAAAGCTTCTGCACAGCCAAAGAAACAGTCATGAAAGTAAACAGACAACCTACAGAATAGGAGAAAATTTTTGCATCCTACGTATCCGATAAAGGGCTGATAGCTAGAATATACTTAGAACTCACGAAAATCAGCAAGAAAAAATCAAATCACCCTATTAAAAAGTGGGCAAAGGACTTGAACAGAAACTTTTCTAAAGAAGACAGAAGAATGGCCAACAAACATATGAAAAAAATGCTTAACATCTCTAATCATCAGGGAAATGCAAATCAAACCACAATGAGAATCACTTAACTCCAGTGAGAATGGCCTTTATCAAAAAGTCTCCAAATAACAAATGCTGGCATGGATGCAGAGAGAGAGGAACACTCCTACACTGCTGGTGGGACTGCAAACTAGTTCAACCTCTGTGGAAAGCAATATGGAGATACCTTAAAGCGATACAAGTGAATCTACCATTTGATCCAGCAATCCCATTGCTGGGCATCTACCCAAAAGATCCAATGACACTCTACAAAAAAGACACCTGCACTCAAATGTTTATAGCAGCACAATTCATAATTGCAAGGCTGTGGAAACAGCCAAGTGCCCATCAATCCAAGAATGGGTATTGGGCAGGGGAGGAGGGTGGGAGCGGGTATATACATACATAATGAGTGAGATGTGCACCATCTGTGGATGGTCATGATGGAGACTCAGACTTTTTGGGGGAGGGAGGGAGGGGAAAGGGCATTTATTGAAACCTTAAAGTCTGTACCCCCATTATATGCTGAAATAAGAAAAAATAAAATAAAAATAAATTTAAAAAGAAAGAATATCTAATTCTAAAATCATAGATTAATTCTGTATGGTTTTTAACTTTATAAAATTGAAATCACATATACATTCTGTGCTTGTTTTTTCCACTTTAAGTAATGTTTTTTGATATCCATCCAATGTTAATAGGTTCATTGTCAGAACGTATCATAATTTATTCACTTATTTTACTGATGTACATTTAGGTAGTTTCTATTTTGACTATTGTTAATACTGCTATCATAAATCTTTTACTATCTGTATTTTCTGAATATGCATTTATATTTTTGTTGAATTAAAACTTAGGCATAAAATTTTTAAAAGAAAAAAGAAAAGAAAATCTATTGTAAACAAAAAAACTCAACATTAAAATCTCTAAAGGCATTTTCAACAAATAAGATACTCATTCTTCACATTGCCATTCATCAGGAAAAAATGAGAATACTAAATTTTAGAAAAGAAGAAACAGTATTGGATTCATGAACAGATGACATAAAATATATCAAAAGAAGCTATAGAAATTTATTTTAAAAACAAAACAAAACACTAGAGTGTGGACTCCCAGTGAGTCCATTTGAGTTGGGAATGTATAGCTCTAATATAGCTATGTTGCAGATAAGTACACAGCAGTCAATATATTCTTCATTTTCTACATACTTGGCTGAAATATATATTGGAAACCAAAATAACCAACTCATGGTAACAGAAAATATAAAAAGTATTTTAGGAATGAATTTCAGAAATATATGTGACATCATAAAGTAACCACAATATATTTGAGAGATATGAATTCTGCTGAGTGGGAAATACAGTATTTAATAACTATTCTGAAAGGAAATTATAAAGTTAATTAAGTTCACGCAGAATTTTAGAAGGATTCTTGTTAAAACACAGGAAAAGTTTTCTGAGGTTCATAGGGAAGAGTACACAGAAAATAATATTAAAGAATTTCTTCAAGAAAATGATAGAAAATTGGTCCATATAAAAAATATATAAGATAATAATTAAAAGTATAATCTTTTTAAAAATAAGACTAAACAAAAATTTTGATTTGTAGCCAGTTTCATACGCCTACAATGAACTCTGTGACTTGTATCAGTTTTTATCCCAAATAGTATAGCTTTAAATGATACCCCTAGCTTTGGCACTCTCTCCACATTTATTAATAATATTTATCAGTAAGTGCTTATTCTTCTTACAAATACTTTGCTAGAGTGGTCACTGTGCATTTTTTGAAAATGATGAGAAAATTTTGAAGACTTTATTACACTACTTGAGAATGTCTCCCAATCTACAAGAATACTACTGAATATTTTCCAAATATCCAAAAGCTACCTACCTAAGTTGTGTAACGTTAGATGATATGACAAAGAAAAATGCCTTTAAAATTTTAAACATATTAAAGGCATTTGTTTGTAAAACATTTTTGAAACTTCATTGGAAACAATGGCCAAATGGATGACTGACTAAAATGTAATTTTCAGATATTATTCATCATTGGTCCTTCTATTTATGCTTTTTCATATTTCATTGGTTTTGCAAAAGGAAGGGAGTGAGGGAGGAATGGAAAGTCAACAGGAGAAATCTCAATGCCACAATCCCA